CCAGGATAGATATCCTGTCGAGATGACCAAAATGTTAAAGGTTGGGTTATACGAGGTTCAAGTTTATCACTGAGGTATCGATTGATCTCGCCTAAAATTGATTGGTCCTGTTCTTGATCTTGGACACCAAAAATCTCGTCTTCAAAAAACTGGGAAGTAGACATGACAGTTGATCTAGTAGTTGGTTGATTGCTGACTTGTGCTTCAACCTCAAACTTCCTTGCCTCACGCTCAAACATCATCCTGATGTTGGGAATAAAGAGATCGTAATCGGCCAAGAACATCTCTCGTTCCTATGTGTTGATCAATCAAAATCTTAATCAGTACAGAGCGCTAAGTAAAAATGTATGTTTGATATCTAAACTTACTTGAAAATATGATAACTTGAGGCGCGGATCCAAAATCGTAGCACAAATGGGAGCAGGTTTAGAAAGAACTTTTTTGAAATAATCTTCAAGCTTGGTAATCATCTTTTGGGATGCAGGTATGAGTTGTTCATGATCGTATCGGTTGACAACCTGAAGTTGATTTTATATTAGCCTAATGAAAATGTAATAAAGGATTGATTGATCACTTACCGCTTTGAGACCTCGTATGACCACAACATAAATAGGTACCACTTGATGCATTGTTGGGTATCTTGACTGGCAAAGTAAGTCGGTTGCATAGCTGAGAGGTTCGAGAAATTCACACATTTGCTTGACATAATTCCACTCGAGTGGTGAGAGAGCAAACTTCCTATAGGTTGGAGCCTTACAGTACTCATCGCAAGCTTCTTGCAGTCGTAAAAGCCTTCGAAACATGTAATACGAGGAGTTCCATCGTGTCGCGACATCAGCAACCAGTTTGTTGGCAGTGTCGCGTGATTTTGGCTGAGGCTGGAAATAATCCTCGGTCGTTGGATCGCGTTCCATGAAGCTGACAGCTTCTTCTTCAGCAAGATCGTCAACAGGATTGTTGATTGGTGCATCGGTGCCGCGGTTGTGCTTAGCAAGGTCACGTGTCATCTTGACAATAGAGGCAAAGCTCTGCGCACGCTGAGGGCTAGACCGCGTAGAGGCAACCAGACCGTGGCACCGATTATAAATAGTCTTGAGGTCAACTTGAGTTACATCGGGTGGGTCGACAAGGTTGGAGATATTCATCGCATTCATCAAAACTTCACCTTCATCATAATCAACCACTTCGCCAAAGACCTTGAGACCTTCTTTGGCGGCGAGGTTGATGACGTGTGCTACACATCCATGGACCTGAGTAAGATGGTCGAAAGTCATGTCTTCGGTCATACCAATGATTCGACCGATGGCAGCATTTGTATTCAAGTTATCAGCGGTCATGGCATATAATTTTTGGTCGAGATTATATTTCTTAAGGTAATCGATGATGATGTTGGCGAAATTTTTGGCATCATGAGCACCTACAAAATATAAGTCAGTATGTGTTAATCAAATTTAGAAGTATAAATTCGTTTACCTTGGATTTCTGAAATTCCCAACGTAAGATCCATGAGCTTCCAATCCTGCGTGATGAAGTGAGCGGTGAGTGCCATATAGGGGACGTTGTTGGGAGAAGTCCAAGCATCCTGAGTTATCGCGATTCCAATACAAGGCTCGAAGTAAAGCTTCTTGATGTATTCTTCAAAATGATAATAGATTTTGCGGGTGTGGTGAGCAAGTGCGTGTCTTTTGACAAGCATCCCATCGACAAGAGGGTTGCAGAGTTTTAACAGGTCTCAAAACGAAGCTCGGTCGACTAAAGCAAATGGAAGATCACAATCGGCAATGAAGTAGGTCACCGCAGTCATGAGGCTGCTAGCGTTAAGAGAATTCTTCGTCGGAAAGAAGGAATTTGTCAGCTTTCTGTGTGAGTATGAAAAGTAGATATTGAACTTACTAAGTGATCCGTTTTGACTTTCTTGAAAAGTGCCGCGATGTTCGATTGATTGAGTAGGTTGGGATCCCGGACACCATGCTTAGTTTCGAGGTGGGTTGACATCGATTTGGTACTTCCCTTCTTATCACGAGCTAACTCTTGACCACATGTTTTTCCGTCTTTCATTATAAAACCACACTTGTTGAAATCGGGATGCTTAGTAAAATAATGCCATACGTGGCTTCTTTTGGAACTGGTAGTAGTAGTAGAAGAAGAAGAAACGTTTGTTGATAAAGATTCCGAGCGTTCCACTTGAGGGGTTAATTCGGGCTGTGAGCTTAAATTGGAATCAGCTTGAGACATGCTGAAAGTTCGATAATCAATTAAAGAGGATTGAGCGGTGATTTGCGCCAGTTGATATCTATGTGGGTTTAATGATTATTTATAATATATATGTTAATCTTAAGCAATCGAGGAATCAAGATGAAAAACGATGAATATTCAATTGAGATTTGAGGACGTTCGGAAAAAAAGGCCCCCTTATTATTTTTTTTTCTTTTTTAAAAAAATAGCCGGATATCCGCCGGACAACCCGATCGGATATCGGGCGATAAAAAATTTGAAACAACCCGATCGGAGAGTCTCCGATCGGGTCTGTCAATATTCTCTATCCGCCGGATCGGATCTCGGGCAAGCCAAAATGCTCCGGATAGGGGCCGGGGCTCGCCTTGAGTTTGTGGCTCCAGCCAATCAACTGGGGCCATCAGGAGCTCCAGTCAATCGACTGGAGCAGTCTGTGGCTCCATCCAATCAACTGGGGCCATCAGGAGCTCCAGTCGATCGACTGGAGCAGTCTGTGGCTCCAGCCAATCAACTGGGGCCATCAGGAGCTCCAGTCGATCGACTGGAGCAGTCTGTGGCTCCAGCCAATCAATTGGGGCCATCAGGAGCCCCAGTCGATCGACTGGAGCAGTCCGTGGCTCCAGCCAATCAACTGGGGACATTGGGAGCTCCAGTCAATTGGCTGAAGCAGTCTGTGGGTCCAGAAAATTGACTGGAGAGACGGACCACCTAAGGCTAGGTGGTCTCTCTATCAAAGTTTGACCATAAGCTTGCAGTGGCCAGGGTAGGAGCTATAGATTTCTCCAGTCAGTTGACTGGAGAGATGTACCACCTGAGGCTAGGTGGTCTCTCTATTAAAGTTTGACCATAATCTGGCGGCTTGCTTGTAGTCAAATACATGTTATACAATCTGCAAACCACAAGCTGGCCCTGGATTAGTTTCCTATAATTTCAGAGTCAAAAGTGGAGGAGACTCATTGAAGCAACAAGTTTCAAACATCCCGTCCGTCAAGTACATCCATCAAGGTATGCTTTCATTAATCTTTCCCAACCTTACTAGCTTCAGATTTGCACTTCATGTTGTGGGGGTGGAGTGGTAGCAGCCAGTGACTTGAGGATATGTGAACTCTTTAGGGGTAAGAATAGGTGACTGAGGGGAACCCCGACAACTGGTCTAGCCTCTTGATTCACATATCACCAAGTCGTGGGTGTTCCACTCCATCCTCATTCTATGTGGGTGATAATTCTGAAGCATTCCACGTGAGCTGACCTTTGTTTTATTCTTCCTGCAGCCAGGTTTCTGGGGTGAGATGTTATATCTCTCCGAGCAAGGTAACCCTGATCAATACTAACTTTTTACTTCTATTGAACCAATGGCTAGGCAGAAATCTGATGTCAAAGGGAAAAAGGAAGCTGTAAAGCGGGCTGCACATATGGCAGCTAGAGATGCTAAGTATAAACAGGAGAAGAAAAAGAGTTACATGACACAAATTGTGAAGCTGTGAGAATTCACACAAGAGAAACTGTCAGCTCTAGACTAAACATTAGAGGTGAACTATGCGTACAAAATGTATTTCTTAAAGTTTGAAAGGTGATTTCTAGACTAGTGAGGAATTAGTTTTCAATTCTTTGTAAGGTAAACTGTTTGAACCTACAATCGTTACTTGTAGTTGTCTACAGTGCGGAGGAAGAACCTCTGTCAGTGTATCAGTAAGTGCAGTCACTTGTTAATCTGGCTAGGTAAACATGTACTAACATCTAAAATCTTTGAGTGACACTTTAGTGTTGGTTTGATAAGATAGAACCTTATCAAAAGAATATAAGGAACTTAAGGAGCTTCATTTGAATAACTTATGGTTAAACAATCTGTGGTATCCCAAGGGTAAAGAGCAAGATAACAAATGGAAGGAAAAGTGACTGTTTGATGACTGTGGTAAAGCTAAAGGAAATGACTACAAGTAGAGTTTTTTAAAGTATAACCAACAAGTTTTTGATCTGGGTAGATTTGTTTGGTTGATTCCATTTTTAACGTAAAAAGTAAAATGAAAATGGGTTAGAAGGTGATAAGTTATTCCGGTCAACCAGGCAAGCTGGCAAACACAAGTACAGAAGGAAAGTCAGTAGGCAGAAATTTTTGTTTTTGCAATTAAACCTCAAGGTGAATGCTTGTCCTTGTCTGCTTCACAGGTACTTGTGCAGAGAATGAGGTGACAGATGATAGTGATGACAGCTGTAGCTTTGAATTTTCACAGATTTTGTATGGTTGGCTTGGAAGCGATGGAAGCAATGATAGCAGTAGATTGAAATTGATGTGAATTTACAGTTACAGTTGACTTGTGGTAAAGAATCACTTTGGTGTTTGGTCGTTTTGCAAGTATGTGAATTTTGTAATGTTGAAACTTGATATTTGAAATTTTTGTGTATTTTTTGTGCCAAAGTGCCAACTCAGCGGTCAAATTTGAGGTTGTGGTTTGGAAACCGCTAAAAATTGGCAGAAAGTATGGTTTCATCCCAAATACGGGGGGTTTCAGACCAGTATTTGAGTTGAATCTGGCGTTTAATCCAGTTTTGTCAGTTTCTGACCCGGGGATTCCAAAATTTTGATTTTTGAAATTTCAAGTTGTCACTTTGACACATGTCGCATTCCGTGTTCTCCAACCTGCGATAGTCTCAGACTCGTAGTTGCTCAAATTCATAGAGAGCACCCCATCCTCTCTCACCAAACAACCACCATTTGATTGAGTCGACCGTTTCACCGCATCATTTATCAAGCAGACTATCACACAATGGAGGACCAAGCAGACAAAAGTGTGGCTGATGAGGTCACACTGCATGACATTCATAACAATACTCTACAGTGTATGCAAAAGGCTGAGGATAAGCCAGGTGTACGCGATTTGACACTTCGAATTTGGCTTAAGGTGAGAATGTAGCTCTTGCAACTCTTTGAGTTGCTTGATTAATAACTCTGATATCCCTTCTTGATCGCTCTCGCCGGGTGAATCTTTGAACATACCAGTAGTAGCTTTTGATTTCCCTCGATACGCCTTGATTGAAAGTAGGGCATTAGAGCTACACGCTTCCGATTGTTTGTTGTTGTGGGATCTAAAACTACAGGTACTGCGATCTGGCTCTTGGGATTGGGTGAGTGTCAAATCTTTTGAAATTTTAGAGTGACAACTAACAAATATTGTGCGCTAGTAGTACCTTACAGATGCGACAATCCCAGTAACCTACGCTTTTGATACAACCGAGTTGTTAATACGAGCATACGGGGTACCGGTAGAGAGTTGTGTAGGAATGGAGACGGCCATCAATTCTTGGAAAATCGGCGGCGAATCACTTTCAGGTCCTTTTCGACGTCCACTTCGACCATATCCTTTAAATTTGAAGGTAGTATTGCCTAGGAAAAGATTATCTCTGAATCCTTCAACCAGTACACCGACTACAACCCAACCTGTCATTGACTCATCAGATTCAGAAAATTTTAATGATAGGAATGTGAAGAGAAAGAAGGAAGCTAAAGATTTACAACACTCGCCTTTAGCCCAAGAAAACAAATTGTAATCACAAGGCACCTTCCAAATCAACTCGTACAGAGCCAGGCTGTCGGCAGCAGTTTACATGCAAATACTTCAATAGGAAGGGAAATCAATTTAAAATGATGTTCAAAATGTTTTGAAATCAACCATTGAGTCGATTTTGCAAACTTGACCCGTCCCTCTCTGTTGCGCAATACGCTCGCCCGAGAGAGGGACTTACGGCTAATCACAAATTTCAAGTGTGAGATATGTTGGGGCATTGAGCCAAAAACAGTCTCTCCTTATGAAATCATTTTTCCTCTTTATCAATCTACCTAGCCCAAAAGTGAAAAAGATGAGCATCCTCCCTGCCGACAACATCCAACTCTCCATTCCTCCGAAAAGGAACTGGCTGAGGCAATATGTAGAGAAAAGCTGTCAGCCTGAGACTCTAAGTCGTGGCAGATGACTGGTAGTTCAGAGCTGAATAGTCCTTACAAAATGTGTTCTATCAAGTTTCAGACAATAAGTATTGAAACTTGAGGGAGATTATTTTTCAATTCTTTGTAAGTGAAAGGAACTATAGTCGTTATGTATAGTTGTCTTAGGTGCTGGATGATTACCACTGCCAGTAGCTTATCAAAGTGCAATCATGACGGTAGCCTTCTAAGGTGAATACAAAGGGATTTGTGGTTATTCCTTAGGTGACGCTTTAGCGTTGGTTTGATGAATTTATCATCAAAAGGAAAACAAGAGACTATCTACAATATCAATTCAAATAGTAAGGAAACCATCAATTGATAAAGAGATAGTGACTCAGAGAAAAAAAAGGGTATCTTTGATATGAAAGAAGATGCAATAAAGGATTCTAAAAGATAAGAATTCTAAATAAGTCTTCTTTCAAATGAAAGATAAACAAAAAAGGATTTTGATATAAAATACTAATTCAAGGATGAGCTGTGGTAAAAGTGGTATGGTATAATAATAAGATGGTCCTCTTTGTTTGGATGCACAGAATCCTTGTTTTATATATCAGAGAAAAGTCACTCGCTCTGAGCTAGACTGTCAGGGTTTTCCCTGGATGCGGTCATCAGGGTTTGATCTTGAAACACGCAACATCAATAGGTTACTTCTTGGAGTCAATTGGCACTAGGGTCTTGTTGCTTTCACGGTTGGTAATGACCTGTAATTCATTAGCCGCTCTCAAAGTAAACCCGGTTGCCAAAAAACCCGGTACACCCAGTTGATTTTTTGGCGGTAACTGGGTGTACCGGGGTAAACCGGGTTTGGAATTCATGTTTCAGACCCCAATCCATAACTGCAAGTCCGCATTCACCCCATCCCTTCTTGATCTCCACAATGCCAACCTCCACCACCCGTCACAACGCCATGGCCTACTTGAAGTGCTTCTTTGCACTTCAGGTAGCATCTTTGGCCACCAACTGTTACAAAACCAGTACAAACTCCAGCAATTTCACTATCAACTTAGCCGTGGTTATTATTTTAGATCAGCTTGATTCAGATGATGCTACAGTCGATCCATACTGTCAAGATAGTCTTCTTTTGATGGCCACTCAGTTAATTTTAAGCAGTACATTTGATGTGATGTCATTCAGTAGATCTCGAAGACGCCGATACATGGAGGACAAATCAGCACTAGCTATCTTGGCTTATGGATTAGAACGAGCTCAGAAGAAACAATACCTCCTTCCGAGAATTCCCCGTGGGTTGCGCCGTGATAGAAAGCACGCCTGTTTTGACAAATGGTGGAATGAGACGGATTGGACCTGGGTAGTTGCAGTATGTGAAATCTGATGACTTTTGCTCATTTCCGAATGACTGACTTGTTTTTTGGAATGTGTTAGGCCCGGATGTCCAAGACCGCGTTTAACACCTTGGTAGATGAAATTGCAGGTGATCCAATCTTTTACAACAATTCAAACCGTTCTCAAGCTCCCCCTAGATGGCAGCTCTTGGTCGCCATGGCCAATTTCGGGCTGTCTGGAAACGGCGGTCAATGTCAAGTCTTAGCCAAACTGTTCTCGATGGCAGGTAAGCATTGGACTGTATCTCACCTGGAAGGTAATATGTGCTGACCTTTGATTTAGAAGGGAGTGTAGAGAATTATACTTACCAATGTATTCAAGCCCTGAACTGAATTGAATCAAGATATGTAAAATGGCCTACACCTGAAGAACGAATCAAAATCAAATCGGCAATTGGTTCAACATCATTCTTCAAAGACTGTGTAGGTTTCATAGATGGAACCTTAATTCCTCTAGCGTATGCACCCCGGAAAAACTGCGAAGACTATTACTGTCAAAAGTCCATATATGCTTTGAATTCATTGATCATCTGTGATCATCAACAAAAAATCATCTATGCTCACCATGGTTGGTGTGGAAGTGCACATGATCAACATGTGCTAAAATCAACTGAGGTAAGTACTTATTCATTTGTGTTCACCCAAAATTTTACTGACTTGTCATTTTTTGTCCAGTTTTTTAAAAATATCAAAAGTTTTTTTAGCAAGGGAGAGTACCTCTTAGCTGATTCCGGATACAGTTCTTCTAAATTCATAGTCCCTGCATTCAAGAAGCCCAGGAATCAAGAGCTTGACCAAGCACACCAACATTTCAACTTTGCTTTGAGTCTGGCTAGAATTGTCTCTGAACATACAAATGGACTTTGGAAGGGGCGTACACAGTCCTGTAAGGAGTCTCAACTGGTGATCAAGGATCAAAAGAGTGCTAATTATGTGAATGTGTGGCTTTCAGCCTGCTGTGTGGTTCATAATTTTGTGCAGGAAGTGGATGGAACATGGGAATTAGGACAATCCAAAGATTGGGCCTCACACCGTGAAGCTGCACCGAGTGATGAAGAAGAAATTTATGCCGCTATGGGCAACTCAAGCCTATCTGATCAAAGACGAGACAGTCTGTTTTGCAATTTCCTCACCACCATGAATTGAAGTCTATTTAGTTTAGTGATGTTTGTGAATTAAAAAGTTTCCAGTTTTTTCTCGATTTCCCCAAACGCACCAATTCCATGTTGGTTGATGGGAATTTATAAGTTTTCTCCTTTTTCTGAAGTGTCATTTTGAACATCATTTGTGATCTCAAGTTGAAATGAAGTCAAGTTTTTGTTTTTGCTCAGTTTGAACAAAGTGTGTTTGTTAGCGAGAGTGCTACATAGGTCACCATGAGACTCATCAATTTCCAAATCAGTTTGGGTGGCTGAGCAAATCACGCGTGGACAAATCAAATTGCAAACAAAATGATTGGATAAGTAACTGGTTATATACAAGAGAAATAATATTTTTGAGTGATATTTGTGGTTTTCAAAATAACAAGTCAAAAGGCAGATAAAATTGATTTTAGAAGACAATTTTTTTTGGTTGGATTCCAAGATATTAAGTCCAAACTAACAGAAAAACAAGATTGAAAGATAAAAGATAAGGATTTTGGTGTCATTCGTTGCTTTCAAAATAACAAGTCAAATGTATGTTAAACACTAGGGTCAAGTTGAGGTTTTGAGTTAAGCAAACCTCAATCCAGTGCACATAAAACTAGTTTACTCGATCCATATAAAACGAGGTAAATATTTGAACAGGGGTGTGAACACTTGACTCGGAGGTGTTTCAAAATGCTAAAGAAATCACTACTGTGTGAACAAAAGGGCAAATCATGTGATCCCATTAAGAACGAGGTTGGTAGTCCAAAAAGTACAGAACAGGTTTATTCGTGTGTGTGTGAAGTCAGGATGAGCCCCGAGACCCGCCAAATCGGGGATACCCGCGGGACAGCCCGTCGGGTCGGGGGGTCGTTCTGGCCTTCGAAGGGTCGCAGAACCGCGGGGATTATCGGGCCCGGGAGTCGTTCTGAGAGTCAAAAGAAAGTGACTCTCCTCGGGGAACCCGAGGAAAAATCAAGCTGTAAAAAGCGGATAAATACACGCTTGGGAGAGGTTGTGCTCAGCGGTTTCTGCCGGAAATAGCCGGGGACTCGGGGATCCCCGTAATTTCCCGGGGATTTGGTAGTTTGTCGGGGGTCAGGGTACGGGAGCCGGGCTTGACCTATGAGCCAGAAAAAGCTCGGGGAATACCGGGGTCGGTCCTCGTTCTGACTTTTGAAAAAAAGTCGGTGGGCCGGGCAGCCCAGTCCCCGGCATTCGGGGGTCGGGGCTCATCCTGAGTGTGAAGCGCTTCAAGATTCTTTTTCGACTCGGTATAAAAGGCTTTGACATGGAAAAGAAATAAGTAAGTGGTTTATATGTTAGTAGTGTTACAATATGATTGAATTGCTTACGTGAGATGAAAGAAATGCAAAAATTCAATCAAATTCAAGGGGACCCGATGTACATATCCAAATCATCGGAGGGATTGGGACTGATTGAGCTATCGGAATCCTCGGAATACTTCGAGCCACCAACAACATCTGAATCTTCCAAACGATGTTTACTAGTGCTGGCGTGAGGCTTGGGAGGTTCTTGAGGGCCAGGGTACATGATTGAAGCCTTTCTGAACGCTTCTTCAAAGGCATCGCCCATACCCATGAACCGGGTGACTGCTTCGCCACGGAGTTGCTCACGTTTGAGCTGAACGTCTTCTTTTTGATTCGTCGACATGGTGGTGATAGCTGAGGCAATCTTTGAATTCAGTTTCATTTGTTCCTTTTCTTTCTTTTGTTCTTCTTGCGCGGAAACTTGGTGTTTGGATTTTGAAGGTAGAAAATCGGACATGAGCATTTGTAGACCCAAGGAGTCACGTGAAGCACTGCCGTTCCTTGAATCGTGTCTTTCCCCTGGATACCCGGTGGGTCAATATCAGGTCCTAGAACATCATACACAAAAGTACACTTACGTTTGGTTTTTATTTGTGACCCCTCACGATTTTTCATGCCTTCTTCCTTTTTAATTGGCTTCTCTTCCACATCTGAACCAAATAATGGATCTCTGGGGAAACCATCATCATCATCCTGTTCCTCTTTGATATCCAAATCCACAACGGTGCGTTTCAAGTTGGAGTTTAAGTAGGATTGATTAGAA